GGCCCTCCGCCTCTCACCCGGAGCAACTCCAGCGAAGGAGAGAGTCCAACCCCTCTCAAGGACTAGGGTTCCAGAGCCGGAACTATGTGTCGAGGTGAGGCCGACTATATCTAGCTGGTAGTGCTCAACCTCTTCCACAAGCTCCGGCTCCTTCCCTGCCAGAGAGGTGACATTCCATGTCCCAAGAGCCAACTTCCGTAGCCGAGGATCGGACTGCCAAGGCCCCCGCCTTGGTCTGCTGCCCAATTCACAATGCACCATTCCCTTCTGGATCCCTCTGCAGATGGTAGGCCTGCAGGGGGACAAGCCCATGTAGCTGGTTCGGGCTGGGCCCGGCCGGACCCCATGGGCGAAGGCCCGACCACCAGGCGCTCGCCCACGGGCCCCAACCCCAGGCCTGGCTCCAGGGTGGGGCCCCGGTAACCCTCCGGGCCGGGTACACGTGTCCTTGTTTGTATCCATCATGAAGGGTCTTTTGAACCGTTCTTCGTCTGACCCTTCACCCAGAACCAATCTGCCATGGGAAACCCTACCAGGGGCAAAATGCCCCCGACAGCATAGCTCCCAGGGTCATTAGGGCACTCAAACTCCTCCACCACCATAAGGTGACGGTTCTCGGAAGAGATCATCATCCACAGCTTTACAGCCAATGCGAGTTATGCCATGCAAACGTCAGTTATTGTGTGAGGGACTTCGGTTTTACTGAGATCGTCATAATGTATAACTCTCAACGTATATGGGACATTTGAGCTGTATCTGTCCTCCTAAACGGTGACTAGGTTTTCCATTTTCGTTTAGGAGCTAATACTAGCTGAATAGCTAATAGCCGTATTAGCAGCTATGTCGCTAAGTGTTTCAAAACGAAACGGAGCTGAAAACACTGAGCAGAGCCGACAGAATATAAACGTAACGTAACGCTAATTGAGATCAACTATGATTGAATCACTGTGATTATAGTTATTGTATGGCAAGCTAGAATCGATAAAGACGGCCAATTATGCTTTCTAAACATAAGCTCAAGGAAACAACATAAAACGCTGCCGTGTTAACCTTTGACCGAGAGCATGCACTCCTTTTCTCATACAGGTAATCCTCTGACTCACATGCACACTTCTAATGTGTGAATTATTCTGTGTAATAATGACCATTGCCCTTAGGGTTTTTTTGGTTTCTCCTGCACATTTGTGATATCTATTCCATATATTGTATGTTTTTTGTTCTACTCTTGTATTGTTTTGTTTTATATATATTTTTTCTCTCGTGCTAATAAATAAATAATTAATATATAAATTGTTCACATATTTTGCTGACTGTTAAAATGCACCAGACAAATAAGCTTTGCTCCTGTAATGTGTTTACATATTTTGTTAATTTAAAATAGTTTTTTCTGTTGCTGTGCCAATCCCTTGCCCCTTTAATGTGAAAGTTTCATTTTAATATAAGATTTTGGCTGTTAACATTTTGGTATGATAAGGAAGTTACGAGATTTAGTGAAGTTATTTCAACGTATCTATTTTTTGGACATTTTACAGCACTTAAAAAAATCTCAATATTGTCATTTACCGTGATAATTTGGTCACTATAATCAAGATATCAAATTTTCCATATCGTTACAACCCTAATATGTAATAATTTCCTGCAAATGTAATAGTTTATATATGTATGGAAGATAATAAAGGTAAAGATTGGCCATTTGATCTTGGACATGGGCTACACAGAGGACAAAATATTTCATGGTCTGTCACCAGCTTGTGTCATTTAATAATTGTCTTTAATGTAAAAATATCAAACACAGAGATTAGCTGGCTTTTTTTCTATTGAAAAAAAGTTAAATAGCTGACAACTGTTGTTTGGAGCCACAGAGTAGAAAATCATTTTACAATCAAAGTACAACAAAACATATTGTAGATTAACTTACCTTGACAGCAAAAAAATGGAGGGAGTTGCTTCTCCGAGATCTGTTTACAGCTGATGGGGAACGCTGTTGTTCAGTGCTGGTAGATGGTTTAGCACCCAAACTGAAATCCACTGGCATTATTCATATTAAGAATACTGTTGTCAGTTTGCAATTGAGCATTGTTTTAAATTGAGGAATGTCTTAAAATGTATTATATACAATAAAATTAAATGCAATAGAATTACAGTAATGTATTCAAAAAGGAGTTTTAATACAGTGCATGTATACCTGGTTGGTTTCTGTCAGGTTGAAAGACTGTTTGCTTTGGATCTTCAAGCTCTGTAGGAGGTATCGCCTGTTTATGACATAAAGCCCTTGTTAAAGCGAGAGTTACATGTAACTACGGTTCTATGAATCCTGGATGACCGCCAGAGGCGGTGCGTAAGCACTGAATGTCTTCGTCTCGTGCATGTGCAGGTCGAGTAGCTATACCAAAAAGTCACCTGTGACCCCCTGATGACCCCGGACAGGCTATATCTTTCAGTGTCGTCAGAAGATCTGTTTCTGCAAAATCCTCTTGCGAGGCAACGAGGATTCCGAGTGACTGAACGCTGTGGCGGTCATCCAGGATTCATAGAACTATAGTTGCATATGTTCTATTTCATCCTTCCTGACTGCCAGAGGCGGTGCATAAGCACTAGATGACACACAAAAAGCTGGTTTGACTGGCGTATACTCGCGGTACCATCCACGTATGCTCTCAGAGTCTGCACAGGGCATAACTGTCCCGACTTGTTGTCCTCCTCCCCCTCTGGCAGGTCAAACTGTGCCAGCTGGATAGGCCGATTGAGGTGTGAGCTCGACAAAACCTTAGGCAGGAACGCAGTATTTGGCCATAAGGTGACCCCTGAGCCATCCGAGTTCCATCTCAGACATGAATTACTGACTGATAAGGCATGAAGCTCCTCTACACGCTTTGCTGAAGTGATGGTGAGGAGGAGGGCAGTCTTTGCCAACAACCATCTCAGTTCTAGTCAATAGGTCGTCATTATTAACAAAGGTAGCTTGCCTCTGTAAACTATTAAACAAAACAGGTATACACCTCGCAGCTCCGACTGACAGCGTGTGGTCACAAGGCTACTGGCGACAAGCTGCTAACACACTAGCTTCGGCTACAGTGGGCTATAGTATGTAAAGGACAATTAGCTTGAGCCGATACTACGACCGTGGCGTGGTATACCTGCGACAGCGAAAAAAGAAAAAGGAACAGATCCTCTGACGACACCGGAACAAATAGCCTGTCTGGGGTCATCAGGGGGTCACAGGTGATTTTTATTGGCATAGTTACTCGACCTGTGCATGCTCAAGACGAAGACACTCAGTGCTTATGCACCGCCTCTGGTGGTCAGGAAGGATGAAATAGAACCTTGTAGGTGTGAAAAAACACTGCAGTACTTCTGATGTTTTGATAAAGGTCCATCATTTGATTAGTAGAAAGAAACATTTTAATCATATTTCTGATTTAACCTTACATTAGAACTTGTCACTGGTATCAACTTGAAGAACCTCGTGTTTAAATCTTAGATAACTGCTAGTGCCAGGTAAAATGTTTTTGTGTTACTGCCAACCTGTTGGCAGGTGGGCAGATGGCCCTCATTGGCTCTGATGTCCTCCCACAGTGGTGAGTGGCTGGTCCAGGCCAAGCTCTCCAGAATTTTTTCTTCTACTTGGGCGAGGTGTCTAAAAACAGGACGAGACAGATCCCCTTCGGCCCGCAACACCAGCTCAATCACCTGTCACCACAGGAGAAAAAAAAGAGGGATGGAGGTATCCTCAAATTTAAAGGGTGGCACGGATGTTGCATTGGTTCAAATTTTAGACCAGATGGGAAACTATCTGGAAATAATACGGTGAGCAACTGCCACTCTCCTCACCCTCAGGAAGTTTCCAGCTGTGGTCCAACAAAAGTGTAACAAACACTAAATTGACATCTCTATTGGCAAATAGAAGAGGCAACTAGAACCATGACTGAATTTTCAGAAATCCTTCCGGTGCATGTGCAACGTTATCTTATGTCATTGACAATTAATATTATTATTATTATTATTATTGTTATTGCAATATAGCAAGCTTGGAAACACACCTTCAGAAAGTGGTATGGTGCCAGTTTTAAGATCAGAAGGAGCAGAGGGAAGTCACACGGTAGACGGTTTGTGGATATGGTAATCTCCAGACAACAGGCCACCAGACAGGACTGGAAAAGCCCATTCCCCAAGATGCCCTGTGACAAAAACATGCACAAGCACAAGTGATTTACTTTAAAAGAAATATGTGAAAAAAATAAGGATATGTTTAATTTTAAGTGGCTCAAGGGCATAAACATAGAGTCTAACATATTCTGTATCACTCAGTCAGTTTTTATACAGTGCCCCTCGAGTGTGCAAAGGTGTTTGTCAGACACCAGTTCCACTTGTAGCCTCAGGGGGGCGGTGCACTCACTGAAATGTCACTGATGCCTTTCCTTTCCCTCTCTTGAATGGCCAGGGTTTCCAAGAACCTGTAGTACAATTCCTGGGCATTACAGCAGCACTTTTTTGCCAGTTCTGTGAATAATATCACAAGGAGTATATGTGACAAGTATCAACAACAACAGCCAGCTCTCTAATCATGTAGGGATTTAAAATACTGTAGGCGAGCAGACAGTGGTTCCCTGCTGTGCTCAAAAAGACACTGTTGTTTCTCATAGAACCAGTAAATATAAAACATGTGGTCTGCTTTGTCTTCCAATGGGCACTATTGCCTCTGCTGATTATAAAATTCTAGGACATAAATCAACTAGTAATACTGTGAAGGCCACAGATATGTCCTCCAGAAATACTGAACATAGGGTAACAGTGTTTCTTTAAATCTGAATGAAACTACTATCACTGTCACATCCGTCATCTCATTAAATAGGTTAGTATACCATTGGTGTTCTCATTTCCTGCATTGTCCCTGTGGTGTTGCAGAAATGTGTCCAGCATACATCTCAGTCTTGTTTTAATCTCCTCAGTTGGATCTCTGGAGCAGGCCCTGTACCAGAAGAATCATGGTGGTTAGTATGGAAGCAGAGTGGTTGAATGACCAGGAGATTTGCATTGGCAAACAATTGAAAAGTAAATAAAAGTCCACACAAGGTTTCTAAAAGGTCACACTTCAATTGTAGAAGTATTTAAAGAGTATACAGACATTTTCTGAACTAAATAGTGTTTACACATGGTGAAACATTCTCAATGCCTCAGTGCAAACCTGTGGGCTCTCTACCAATATACCACATGTTAAACATACTAAGTAGTGTTTGTTATATTTAGGGTAAGTGTCAAAACCTACCATTCATGTAAGAGAGTGTGGAGTGATACTGGAGTAATACTACAGAGACAATGTTTTTGCGGTGACACTGAATTATTTAAGTCTGCCTGTGACACTGAATTATTTAAGGTCTCTTGTGGTTTTGTAACTATCTGTTATATTGTTTACTTTGTTAAACTACTTGCTGTATACTAACATAGCTTACATAACACTGTTATTCTGACAAACAAAACTGACCAGTTTATGAGCAGGCTAATACCGTGAGACTGTAGTGCTAACCTTAACATAGCCACCAGGTGTTCACTGGGGCCAAATCCTGGTGGCTCGGTTGCCATGGTGACCTCTATACAGGATGAAAGTCAGAGCAGGAATGTGTACCTGAAAAAAGATTTTTTACAATTTTTTAAAAAAAAAAATAGTAAAAAGTCGTATTTCCATGTTTGTCTGTTTTTTTTGGGGGGTTTCTTTCCGGAAAGCTGGAAAATCTGCCAGCCCATTTAAATCTCTCTAATTTATATATCTAGTTTGTGTAGCAATTGCCATAGTAGATTTGATAGTTAATAATTAAGTAATACCAAAATATATAACTATAATTCATAACTCAAAAGCAGCACCTTTCAAGACAGAGGTTGATAGCCAGTTAGCCGAATTACTTAATCTAGTCTCATAAACTGAAGGCTGCTACAGAGTTCTTTTCCTGGTGTTCAGTGACATGATATTTCTACAGACACAACACTTTGCTTTAAATACTGAAATCAAGAGAGTAGACAATATATTTAGGCACCTCGGCTGAAAGCAGAGGTGCCTAAATATATTGTTTCTGGTACGTTTAATATTATTATTCTTTCTCCCGCCGTCTGCGAAAACCCAAATTTGACCCCCTAAACATGCTCAAAAACTCACCAAAATTGACATGCATGTCAGGATTGGCGAAAAATTTGATAAAATGAAAAAAATTACCCCAAAAGTGCCAAAATGGGCTCTCTAGCGCCACATAGACACACTAAAATGGCCACTGTAGAAAGATCAAACCAAAACTGGCTTGTTCATCTCATCGAGACCTACGAATCACACGCTGACACCCCTCACATAAGTGCAACAGGAAGTGAAAGTAACATGAGCAAATGTGGAGAAATTGTCAGCTGTGAGCTAGAGTGGAGAGGGGTCTAAAATCGTCTACAACTTTTGTCTTTAACTGTCTATGTGAGCTCGAGGCTGAAACGGCATGAGGCCAAGGTCCCGTCCAACGCTGCTTGCAGCTTTAATTATGTATGTTATCTCTTAATCAGTCAAGAAACATGTTTTATGATTTCTACAACTGCATGTTTAAAGGTCCAGTGTTTAGGGGTATTTATTTAATGGTATGTAGCGGTGAGGATTACAACCAGCTGAAACTGGTTAAAACTCCTTCAGTGTTCACTGTTCAGGAGGTTTTTAGCAGGAGACGAATTATTTGCAGAGGTCTCTTCCTCACTTAGACAAATGAACAAGGTGATTTAAACCAGTAAAAACACTGAATAAAGCAGTTTCACCTTACAGATCAGTGTTTCTCCTACCCTGCCCAGCCCCTACAAATGTGTGCTCAATTATTGACCCTTTTAACTTTATGTGCGCTCACATTATTTGAGATCCAGATGTTCAGGGGTTTTTTAACAGTGAGCTGAATTATCTCCTCCTCTCCAACACAAATGGACCCAGTGATTTAAACCATTAAAAACCAAAACCAAATGCAGGTTAGCATAATATCAAACTGGTTTGAACTCGTACTTCTCACTTGATTTATTACCTCAGATCCACCCTCTCGTCCAAATCCCTTCTGGCTCTAAAAAAGATGTCGAATGCCGAATTGCCAGGCTCAAGGCTTCATAATGGTAGTCCACAAACCAGTTGGTGACATTACGGCAGCTACGTCCACTTGTTTTACAGTCTTTGGTTATAATTGGTTACACGCAAAAGTGGATGATGACAGAGTTACATTTTGCTTTTCAACTTTTCATGTAAGATGAAGTTTGGACTTCATCTTACAAAGGAAACTAAAGTCATAAACAGGTTCAAAGTCACTTACCAGAGTTGTTTTGGATTTGAAAGCCAGATTAAAGGGCTTCTAAGAATTCCCCTGTACGTCTCTTATGCCTGGTTGGTAGCAGCAGACGAATCCTGCAGCATGGCGTTAGCCTGCTGCTCAGCAAACAGGAAGTTCAGATCATAGGCCTCTCTTAGACAAGCCCCTTATCACATGAGTGTTGTTGCTATGAACAGTTGTAGTAGGGACCTATAAACTGAGTACCACCAATAGGAGGACAGAGGGCTTCAAAAAGGAGGGAAAACCTGTTAACCCTTTGCTGTAACAAAAATGTTCAGCAGTGTAACTCTTTATGCACTGATGCCTGGCTAAAACACTATTTTTAAGCATGTGGTGTTGGTTAAGAGAATTTGGAAAAATATTTGATGGAACTTCTTTCAACAACAGTATATCATTAATTATAAAACCTACCAATATAATAGAAGGTTAGTAACATTGACCAATTAGTTTTTTCTAGATACATTTAAGATTTAGTGGATCACCAACATTTATACATAAGGTTTTCAAGAACTTTTAACAGTTCTTTTGTACTAAATGCTGCATTATAATCATTGAGAGAACTCTGTCTACCCTTTTCCTTGCCCCCATGATTCCTTGCATGAATTATTGGCACGACTTCTGGTGCTGAACTGGAAGCAGCATTTTCCAGTGGTAACAGTTAACTAATGGTACGCTATTCCTCTTTTGTACAGCAATTGGGAAATACAATATGGATCACACCGCCTTCAGACGGGATGATGTCATCATGCCTGTGCTATCTCTGACAGCCATCTCAAAGCATTGGATGTTTTCCTTTCAAACAAAGTATGTTAACGATAAGCTTGCCTTGCGACGTTAACATGTTAAGTTTATTGCAGCCTGAGCTAGTTTACTGTAAACATCTAGTCCTTCTAAAGAATAATTTACTTTATAGCTCCATGTCAAATAAATAAGTGATGTTTCCAAGCTACAAAATGCCGAGTTTAGAGGCACAACTTAGTTATATCTATAATAATTAATATAATATATAATTCTGATGTAATACATCTCAGCTGTCAAAACTCTTTTGGTTTTATTATTTCCAAGCATGCGAAAATGTAGTGTATGCGTTAGAATAGGGTGTATACTAAATACGGGATAAAGCAGGTCCTGTACTGATTCATAAAGGGACGCTGCATTTCATTTTCATACAGGATTATCAGCTATTAACATCATAAAGTATACAGGTGGTAACCCATTCGTCTGTGAAGGTAAGCAATGAAAACTGCATCATTGATTACAGGAACAATCTATTTTTTTTCTGGGTCCATGTTCAACACAGTTTTGTTTGTTGAAGCTAAATTTAGTTTAATCTGATTATTAGTAATTTTACAGAGTACACAGCGCAAAAGGTGCCAGAGCTCTGCAAGGACATTTTAGAAAATGCTAATTTGACATAAGTTAAATATCTGTCCAAAAAAGGCAAAGCAGTATTTCCTTAAAGGGCCAGTGTGTAAAATGGGTTGAAAACAGTGACATCAGTGGTCAAATTCTAGATTGCAGGGCTCACTAGCTCACCCCTCCTGTCGGGTAAATGACGGTGGCCTCGTAGGGACAAAAAGCCTTGCGCGCGAGTTTTTCAGGAGTAGGTCTATTTAGCGACGAGGTGAGAAGGTTTATTTAGAAATCTAAGCCATGTTACGATATTGTAATGAATCCCTCACGAGCAGGAGACCAGAGGAGCGTTCGGGAAAAAGGCCAGTTTATTTGAGCACTCCAGAAACTCCGGTAACACTCCAGGGGGTAAAAGACTCCGTCCCAAACTCTGACTCTTCTAGCGTAACAGACACACTTCATAACTTTACACAGATACTCGTTTACCATACCGAGTGGGGACCCCCCTCCCCTCTCTGCTCAATCTCCAGCCCACACACTGACTGACAGCATAGCCGGTAAACAGAGCTCAGCTGTTTATTTAGCCTTGCGATATCTCCGGACTATAGTAGCTGCAATGGACAACTTTGAACGCGATTTTGAAGAGTTTCTTGTAGCGGA